TTATTTGAGACAATGTCTCTCTATTATGTCACTTGACTATCTTGGATCTCATGTTGTGAATCAGGCTAACCTCAAACTCCCAGAAATCCATGTGCCTCTGCTTCCCCAGGCTGGGATTAAAGTCATGTGGTACCTCAACTGGCTTGAGGGTGTATTTCTGGTAAAAAAGGACTTTCAAAAAGACCTTATTTATGGCTTATGTTTATTTGGTACTAAAGGAGCATCAACTCAAAATTGCCAATTTGTTGTGGATATTCCTTTGTGTAAAGATGTGTCACTATGATTGGTTTAATAAAAAGCTAAATGGCCAATAGCTAGACAGGACTTTTTGGAAAGAGAGAATGCTGGGAAGAAGCCAGCTAGACTTGGAGGAAGCATGACATGTAGGAGAGGAAGTAACAAGCTACGAGCCATGTGACAGCATGTAAATTAATAGAAGTGGGTTGATTTAAGTTCCAAGAGCTAGTTAGAAACAAGCCTAAGCTATTGGCCAATCTTTTATAATTAATAACAAGTCTCTGTGTCCTTATTGGAGAGCTGATGGTCTGATGAAAAAGCCTGATTCCAGTAGTTTTTAAGGCTCAAAATCTTAACAAGGATAAACTACCATAATTTATAAAATCCTAGTCTTACAAGAGTTACTAATTCATTTTTAATTTTTAAGACAGATCATTCAAATATAAAAATTAATGTCACTTCAAACATCATCAAGTGTCTTGAATGGGCCCAGAATTGTTTATAGTCATGTTAAATACAAACGTAATTCAATTACAGAGACAAGATTAGCAAAAAAGACTAATTTGTATCTCCCTCTTTATAGTTCCCTGTATATGTTTTCAAAGTTAAGCCTAAAGAAAACTGTTTCTCCTTTTTAAACCCACTGTTTGGATAGTTCCCAAAGTCTTTCACGCTTCACCCACTCGAGGGAGCTTCTACCTGCTTCACTGAGGGTACCAGTCACAGAAGGGCAGCCTGAGCTGGACCATTCACAGGGATTTTACAAACTGCCTTTTCCTCAACACAGCAAAGTGAGCTGTATGCTGTACAGATACTGCTAAAGTATGCTTCCTCCCCACTTAATTCTGTGACTGAGTCTCGATATTTTACAGTTCCATCAACACTTTTAGAAGTGGTTATTATTAGGCAAAGTGAAAACAGCCCTAAGTCTTTGATATTATTTTCTGGCTCAATAACTGCTAACAAATCTATCCAATACATAGGAAATTATACTTGTACAAAACTTATGGAGAACAATCTGATGCTTTTCATGCTAATGTAACTGTAAAAGTAGACTTACTTGGATCCACTTACAGCTAATCAACATTCTTGGGTCAAACTGGCTATAGATACCATGAACAAAACCTCATTTTGTGTTCAGGAAGGACAATCTGTTCATCATCTACTTTAAAGAATCTGGTTGGATTGTCAGCAAGCTATGATGACTATGTTAATGTCACCAGGTGAATGACAAATGAACCCTTAATAGAGACAGATGGTTGACAACTCCCTTGTATAGTATAAACATGAATGACAGCTGACATCATGAGAAACGTGGTTTTGAGTGTGTCGGCGATTTCATTTCCAGGCATATATGACAAGGTCACTACACAGGGTGATTCGGTTATGACATTTAACCCAGCCTCACCCATTGTGTTTTTGATATGGGTTCCTCATTATGTACTGAGTGTACTGATAATAACTATACTGTGGAAAGAGATATGTCTTTACTTTTAGGTAAAGCTTTGCCTTCTACAAGGGCCTGTTTATGCAATCAACTAGCCTTTGAGGCATTGCTAGCCAGTCTCTTGGGATATTGTTCTACAAGCAGAAGTCCTGCACTCTTGCCCTTTCTAGATAACACACCCAGAGCTACTAGAAGTTTGCCAACAACTTGCAACAGCAGACTGCAGTTATCAAGGATAAAGCAGATTGCAGTTGGAGCTTCTCTGCTTCTAGCACTGGGACTGATAGCGCCTTCAGCATGAAATCTCCCAACTAGTTTGTACCTTCAGCAAAACTGTCAATGTCGTGGCTACTACCTTTGGAGAATTAAATGTAAAAATGTGGGAACTCTGAACAGCAGTTTTACAAAACCTGAGCTGCCACTGGAGATTTACTGCTAAAAGATATTGGTTGTGAACGTCTCCTGGTATGTGTTTCAGTATTATAGGTGATTCTCACTTGGAATCACAACAGTTGGATCAACTTTAGAGAGATTAAAAGTGGTGAAGCTGGCCTCACTGGTTCCCTTGGCTCCTTTCCTTTCAGGGAGCAATGACAAATATTACAGCTTTGGTTTAAGTTAACCTTCATTTTCAACGCTTCACAAACTCCACATGTCATCTTACTTATCAACACAAACTTTATACTGCTCTTAACGAGTTCACAGGAAAGGGGTGACATGCAGGCCAAAAATAATAAGATTTTCAGGCTTGTTTGCTCTCCTGGGAGGAGTGGGTCTGCCTGCCCTGACTTGGACAAGACACTCCCAACACTTTAGCAATGTAACTTAGACCACTAAAGGGCATTAAACAAACAGCCCTCATTTGGCCAAGAGACCAGAGCACATCGGAGAAATGCTATCTTTTTTTTTTGTTGTTGTTTTATTGTTTGTTTGTTTGTTTTACTGTTTCTCTCTTCCTGCTTTGAACTCTGAGCTATCCAGGATAAAAGCACCACAGAATGTCAGTGAAGGCACCTTAAGCAGCTTAGCTTTGAGTTCCCGGTTTCATTTAATCTTGAATTGCATGAGCAATGGGCACTGGCGGGTCTCAACAGAGGAAGAGGAACACGAATATTAGAATAGTTTTGACTACAATATAAGTTCCAAAAAACAGTGGAGCTTTAAATAGATACCTTAATTAAAAATAAACCACTACATTTTTTTGGTTGTTGTTGTTGATTTTTTGAGACAGGGTTTCTCTGTGTAGCTCTGGCTGTCTTGGAACTCACTTTGTAGACCAGGCTGGCCTTGAACTGAGAGATCTGCCTGCCTCAGCCTCCTGAGTGCTAGAACTAAAGGCATGTACCACTACCAGTGGTGGATATTTTTGGGGGTAGGGGACTGAAATTTCCCAATGATACTTTCTAAATTTGGTGCAACATCTTGCATGTTTGCTTATATCTACAATTGAGTATAATACATAAATGTTCAACAACAAAAAGTGACATGTAGGAAACTTAAATTTTTTTTTAAAATTTACATAGTGTTTGCCAATGTGTGCTACATGCCTGGCCATACTGTACTGTACACATGGAGGAGTAGTTCTTTCTGTATACCAGATGGGTCCTGAGGATTGAACCCAGGTGCTCAGCCTTGGTAGCAAATGCCTTAACCACACTGGGCATCACTGGCATGGAAATTTTAATATAAAAGAGACAAATAACACAAACTTAGTAAGTAAACTTTAACTGAGTACATGCCCAGCTAAATAAATGTGATCATTTCCAATGTGTTTTCTTTACTTTTTTCATTTTGATTTATGTAGTGTGTGCATAGGTGTGTGAACATGCATACACTACGGTATGCATGAAGAGGTTAAAAAGCAACTTATATGAGCTGCTTATCTCCTGTCACATGCATCCGGGATGAGTTTAAGTTGTCAGTCTTGACAGCAAGCACCTTTACTTGATGAGCCAACTCGATGGCCATGACTCTTCATTTTAATAAGTGATTTGATGCTTGCTAACATATGTGATGCTGAATGCCTATTCTAAAATGTTTATGTTTATAGAATAACTAATATGAATTCTGGTGTAGTTAGGTAAGTCTGAAGCACATTTTTTCACATTGGGAACCTGTACTTTATCACTTTTATTATTTTATGCTGACAGATGAGTAACAGATTAGACACATCTGTTAGAATTTAGACCAGATACTGTACAGGTCATACTCATATACAGCTGTAATTTTCTCCATCCTCATAGCTGATTTTACATACAGGACAAGGGCTATGGTCTACAAGCTACTGGAAACTAACAGTGATACAATAAGTTGGTACATGGACATTAAATAAAGGGCCTGTCCTCCCCACCTCACAAAATTCCAAAGTTCACATATCCATTTCCTGGAATGTAAGACCCCACCCACCGTCTGGGAACTGGAGACTTCTCATCAACCACAGACCACGGAATTCTGAATCACAGCCCTGTGCGCTGATGCTCAGACTAGCTTTAAGAGTCCTACTCTGCAGTGAACTTGTAAAACAGCACTCAAAACAGCATAAGGTGAAAAGCAAGTAACCATGTATGAACTGGGTAAATTATCTGCTATACATTTACTCTCACATCTGTATATACTCTATGTATACTCTCATAGTTTGAAGTCCAAATTCTTCTTCTGGGCATTTTCTGGTTTTTACTAACTGTATGAATTTTTAATGACTGTGACAGTGTTTCATGTTAGAAAACCTTCTCACAGTCATCAAACTTATAGGGTTACTAGACTCCTTGTATATCTTGAAGTCAACTGAGGCTTCACTAATTATACAACCTTTCTTATAGTCCTTAAATTCATATGACATTTCACATGTATGAGCTGCTTATGCAGAAAGAAGCCATTTGGGTAGAAATCCTTCCTATATTTGTATAGTCCTGGTTATGTTGTACCAGCATGTGTTCCCTAGAGTTAAGACCTGACCTGTGGAAGAACATTTTCAAACATTCTTTACATTCATCAGCCTTACCAGCATGCATTCTCTGATTCCAGTGAGGACTAACAGTATATAGTAGGTTCCATGCATTACCTAGGGTTTCTCATATGAAGCATTCATGTAGAGAGAGGCCAGAGGTAGAGAAGAAACATTTCATGTATTCTTTATGTACCCAGACTTTACCTGCCTGAGTTCAGTGAGGTACAAAGGGCTCTGACTGAAACTACAAACATTCCATATGTTCCTTATACTCTTACGGTTTCTCACTTGAATGAAAACTGATTTTGAGAGAGAAACAACTTCCATGGAGAAGCTTTTCTGCATTGTTTATACTAATAAGGACCTTACCTGTATGAGTTGCCTGGTGTCGACTGAGTTTTGACTTGCTGTAGAAAGCTTTCAGGCATTCTTTACACTGATAGGGCTTCTCACCTGTGTGAGTTCGCTGATGTAAAGTGAGGTTTGACTTGTTGTAGAAAGCATTCTTGCACACTTTACATTCATAGGGCTTCTCACCCGTATGAATTCTCTGGTGTGCAGTAAGGTTTGATTTCTGCCAAAAAGCTTTCTTACATTCATTACATTCATAGGGCTTCTCACCCGTATGGGTTCTCTGATGGCGAGTGAGATGGGACTTGTAAAAGAAAGCTTTCTTACATTCTTTACATCCATAAGGCTTCTCTCCTGTATGAGTTCTCTGATGTAAAGTTAGAAGCCACTTGCGGCGGAAGGTTTTCTTGCATTCTTCACACCCATAGGGCTTCTCTCCTGTGTGAGTTCTCTGGTGTTGGATGAGATGGCACTTGTGGTAGAAAGCTTTTGGGCAGTCTTCACACCCGTAGGGCTTCTCTCCTGTGTGAGTTCTCTGGTGTCGAAAGAGATGTGACTTGTGGTAGAAGCCCTTCTTGCATTGTTTGCACTCATAGGTCTTCTCTTTATTTTCCATTCCCTGGTGTTCAGTGAGTGTTGACTTATCAAGGACAACTTCACAGCAGTCCCGACAGTGTTTTCCACACGTGTGATTCTTCTTGTGTTGTGGCCTTTGATAATATGTTTCCATCCATGAACTGGATTTCTCTCCTTGCTGAATTTTCCATTGAACCTTTAGTTGTGCCTTAAGAAAGAAGAATTTCTTTTATTCATTGAACATGAATAACATGACTATTGTTATGTCCTAACATGGCGCCCTAATGTTTGTAAGGTGTGGGGTTTTTTTTTCCACATGTAACCTCATGAACTGTATATTTATAGCATTTCTCATCTGTGTAATTTATTATTTGCTGATTTTTTTTCATCCAATGAGTTGCAGTAATTTTTTTTCTCTATAAATCCTGCAACTCTAAAGAACGAAGCTACTACACTCTGTAGACAGATCCGTTAAATAAATGCAATCTGGCAGTTAATGTGTAATTCACTGAAACCAAAATATCTTTCATGAAGTCCCACATGGAAGTCACTGCTCCAGGACCTTTACATTTCCAAAGGATGTGTACAGGATACTGTGGAGCATCATCGTTGAGGAGAAGTCAGTTAAACCATTTTGCTCAACAGGAATATTTAAAATATTCTGCATGAGTTCATGTGGCTGTCATCTTTTGTTTAAAGTGGCTGCTGCTGTGAGATTGTTTTTTTCTTTGACATGCCAAATGTAACTTTCTGTAAGTTGTGGGAAGTAGTATCCTGGGCAGGCAACCTCTGACTGGCAATTTAAATATGGCCACTTAAAAACCTAAAGTCTGTGTTCTTTTCATCCTAACTCCATGCGTGACTTAGTGGCCAGAATGGAGAAGAGTGCCGAATGGGCACCAGTCAGGTAGACTAGGGCTTGACCTCAAAAGTAGACTAAATTTACCCAGTACTAAACTACCCTTACAGTGTTGTGCTTCATGAGTTGTATTTTATACAATAGAAATAAAGGAATGCCGCTGACACAGTCCAGAGCCATCCTTAGCTACCTTGCTGTCAAGTACAACTTGTATGGGAAGGACCTGAAGGAGAGACTCAGGATTGACATGTATACTGAGGGCACCCTGGACCTGATGCTAATGATCGCCCAGGCTCCATTTAAACCCCCTAAGGAAAAGGAGGAGAGCTATGCTTTAATAGTGGTGAGAGCTAAGACCTGTTACTTTCCTGTCTTTGAAAAGATTTTAAAAGACCATGGGGAGGCTTTTCTTGTTGGCAACCAGCTCAGCTGGGCAGACATACAGCTGTTAGAAGCCATTTTGATGGTGGAGGAACTCAGCGCCCCTGTGCTGACTTCCCTCTGCTGCAGGCATTTAAGGCAAGAATCAGCATCATTCCTACAATTAAGAAGTTCCTTCAGCCTGGGAGTCAGAGGAAGCCACCCCCAGACAGCCACTATGTTGAGGTGGTCAGGAATGTCCTGAAGTTCTAGTGGCCTCAGGTCTTAAGATGGATACATCAAGTATCCAATTACAGTGTCACCATAGGCCAGCTACAGAACATTCCAGAAACAAGGTATAGATAGATCCCAGGAGTTTTTGAAAAACAAAACCACTCTGCCATCAGAGACACATGCCAATTAAATATAATGAAAAACTAAAAAAAAAAGAAAAGAAAAGAAAAGAAAAAGAAATAAGATGCCATGCAGGGAATCAATCACATTCCAGATTTAGAGAAAGGGAAGGATGCAAACCATTACTGTGGAACAGGTTTTGTTGGTACTCATAAAGCACCATATTAGGAAAACAGAACCGTGCCTTAAGAAGGAACGATAACGGCGGCAGGACTAAGATATGTTCACGCTGTGTCCTTAAATTAACTGTGTTTCGAGCAATAAGTGGTATTTAACAAAGGATTCAAAAAATTCCCTGAGATAATTAGGTCTCTTGACTGTGAACTTCCTTTGTTGAATATTACCTTTGTATAGAAAGAGCCTAATTGAATATATTGAAAATGGCAGGATGCTCTTTTATCTTACTACAGGGACTAAGATGTATAGAATATGGGAGAAGTTTCTCAGTTTCATCATTGGGTATAGGACTCAGTATGAGAAAAATTAAAAGGAAATCTCCCCAAACAATTCCACTCTTCATGTTCAGATAACAAGTAGTCTGAGTCCACATTAAAAGTTTCACTTACTTCAGCCATCTCTTCATTTGATATGCTGCTACTGGTGGTTTTCATGTCACACCAATGTCTTTCTTCCTTTTCCTGGATGGTCTCAATCGGGACACGTGCTTTTTTAAGACCTAAAATAACATAAAAAAATCATTACCCACAAACAATCATATTATTTATTAATTTAAACACATAGTGTCTTAGTTTTCTCGTGTAAATTGTATGACAATATTAGCTGTGACAATTTATTCTTTTGTTTATTTGTTTTGAGACAGGGTCTTTCTGTGTAGCCCTGGCTGTCCTGGAACTCCTGGAATTCAGAGATCCATCTGCTTCTACTTCCCGAGTGCTGGGCTTAAAGGTGTGCGCCACCACCACCTGGCTGACAATTTATTCTTAAATAAATCAGTATGACTCTGGCTGAGAAGGTGGCTCAGTGACTTAGTAAGTGCTGGCCACAAATTCATGAAAACTGGAGTTCAGATCCCCACAATCCAGGCAGGCTAGATTAAACATTGGTGATTCTAGGCTGAGAACGAAAGCAGAGATAAGAGAACCCGGGGGGGGGGGTGGGGAGCAGTCTGGCAAGCGACCCTAATGGATAAACTGGAAGAACAATTAAGGATGATTCTGTATATCACACTCAGTTATCCACCGTGACACTTGCCAGGCCTTACACATCTTGAGCATTTTTCTCAGTGCATCTGCACTTTCAGGTTCCATGCCTGCTCCTGTAAAAAAGAAAACAGTCAGGCTGGGGGGGGGGGGGCGCACACCTTTAATCCCAGCATTTGGGAGGCAGAGACAGGTGGATCCGTGTGAATTCATGGCCAGCCTGGTCTACAAGAGCTAGTTCCAGCCAGGTCAGCTTCCAAAGCCACGGAGAAACCCTGTCTCGGAGAAAAAAGAAAGAAAGAAAAAAAACAAAACCAAAAAAACAACCCTCTAATGTCAGTGTCCACAGCCTCTCTGAATTGTGAAGATTTCTTTTCAGTTTCCTAGCATACAGGATGTAGGATGTCTGTGTGGCTAAACACAACCAATTTCTTCTCCAAAACCAGTCTGCTATTATAGAGAAAACCACACTGCTTGATTCAACAGTCAGAACCACTGCTTATCAGGTGAACAAAATGCAAGTGTTGAATGAATACGTAAACAAACATGTAATAAAAATCTACTTTGCGGGGGGGGGGTCTGTGTGTGTGTGTGTGTGTGTGTGTGTGTGTGTTTCTGTTTTACCAATCAGTGGTGGTGCTTGCCTTTAATCCCAGCACTGGGGGAGGCAGAAGCAGGGAGAACTCTGTTAGCCTGGTCTACAAAGTAAGATCCAGGACAGCTAGGGCTATTAAACAGTGAAACCCTGTTGTGGAAAACCAACCAACCAATCAAACAAACCATGTATATATGGGGTAATTATATCAACAGAACTAGCAAGGTGGCTTGATAGGGAGACCTCTCTAAGGACTGCAAAAGCCATGTGCCTGGATCATATGACCAGCTGTTTTCAGGGCTGTGGCCAACCCCAGCCATCTCTCTTCTGGTTTACCTCCTTTGCCCAGTATACATTCACAGACCTCGAACATTCCAGATTGAGGCTTCTGCTTTACTCCAAGGCCCAAATCCCTGCTCCAACTTGAAGATTAACTCAGGTTTGGTTGTGCAGTGCCCTGTAAATGGGGATCATATAGAAATGGTGAGAAAGTTCTACCAAGACCACTGAAGAAAGACCTCAACCCCATTTTTGATTTGGGCTATGATGGGTGCGTTTGAATTTGTTAGCTTCACACTCATGTTCTTCACTGTCTGGAATATTACCCTCAAGTGGCATTAATACACAATAAATTATGCAACATAATTTTAAAAAATTTAATAAGCAGATGACAAGAAGAGACAAAAAGATGAAGTTGAAAGGGTAACTTTGTTGTGGTATATTATTTAAGATGTGTTACATTTGTTTATACTGTAGAATATTTGTTTAATGATGCAAAGATGTGTTGTGTTCTTTTATGTTGCATTTGCTTAATTGTGTGAAGTTGTGGTACTGTGCCTGTCTAAAACAAGTTATTGGTCTAATAAAGAACTGAATGACCAATAGCTAGGCAGGAGAAAGGACAGGCGAGGCTGGCAGGCAGAGAGAATAAAGAGGAGGAGAGATCCAGGCTGGGGAGGACAGAAGAGGGAGGGATGAGAGAAGGATAGGGGGTGCCAGGGACCAGTTATCCGGACACACAGTAAGGAGAGAAGAGGTATACAGGAATAGAGGACGATAAAAGCCCAAGACCAAAGGGAGATAGGATAATTTAAGTCAAGAAAAGTTGGCTAGAAACAAGTCAAGCTGCAGTCAGGCATTCATAACTAAGAATAAGCTTCCATGTGTGATGTACTTGGGAGCTGGGTGGTGGGACCCCAAGGAGTAAAGAGTAACAAAACCAACTACATTTTGGTGTTTGCAGCATGGGCCCGTATTTCCATGTGGGGCCTGAGAAAGCTGAAAAAAGAAAATAGATACTGCTCCTTTAAGAGTCTCTGCCACACAACGGAACACTTGAATGGCCTTTTGTATGTGAAGGAGAAACAAAACTTAAAAAATCCTACCACAATGCAGGGCATTCCAGAGCTGGGTGAATGAATGTAGTTCCCAGTCACATACCTCCAACAAGGCTATGAGCTTTAGGCTTGGCTTTCATGACCCAAGAAGTGGGTGGGGCCAGCCACCAAGGTGGTGGTAGAGGTCCTAGCTGCTATGCTTAGCAGTTTAAAGGCTCATGTGGTCAAAACAGACTAGAGATATGCAGCAAAGACAGATTCAAACAGGGAAAAAAAAAAACCTTCTAAACAAGTTAGTGTGTTTAAAAAATGTATATAGGTTACAGAAAAAAATAGGTTATAGAAAAAAATAGGTTAAAAATAATATAGTAGTCTTTAAAGAGATAAAGTAATAAAAGAGAATAAGCCACGTAGAGACGGACGGGAAACACATCAGGTATGTTGCTGTATTGACCTTGAATTTTTTGAATGCTGGTAAATGAATAGCAGCTGCTGACAGACACGGGATTGTGAACTGGACTGCTAAAATAAACCACCCTACATAGTTTAAGAATACCTTAGCTTTAAAATGGAACTCAAAAAAATCCATTGCTTTTATTTCCACAGGAAATGTGAAGCTGTGGATTCCGTCAGGGTTAATAGGATCAGGTTTGATTGGGGGAGACCTCCTGAACCTTGACAGGTGATATCTATCAACAAAGGTGACAGCTGGTCTTCCCAGGACTTGACCATTGTCTCAATTTTCCCAGGTTCCCTAAAGATGCCTTTGCCCACAGACAGCAGGAAGAAGTCTAGAGAAAACGACACCCACATTCCCAAGAGTTGGGGTGTGAGTGGTTTTTGGCTATTTGGTAGGTTATAGATATTTATCATTTAGTGGAATATAGGATAAAAAACAACTATTAATATTTTATATTGGCATGGATTTTGGTATCTTGATACAAATTTAAAGTTATTTTTGTTATACTGTATGTAGTTTTCTACTTTTGCTTGGGGTATTGTACTTATGCAGTTCATTTAAAAATGCAAAATATAAAGAAATGAGGTTAGTAATTAATGTATGACAGTCAATCTTGTAGTCACATTAGGTATTTTCAAGGTTAAACAGGTATATTTTAGACAGATTTTCAAACACTTCAAAGACCTACAGAATACAGAAGCTAAGATGTTTAATAACCAAAGATTTTTCGTGAAAATGAGACACATCTGTTCCTGGGAGCACGAGTTCTTCATAAAAGGATGATGGATAGAAGACGCTCCATTTGGAGGTTGCTTTCAATGTGGCTGCTCGTGCCTTGACTACTTCTGGCAGTGTGCTGTGTACACTGAACAAACAGAAAGTGACTATTGAACATTGACTACTGCTGGCAGTGTGCTGTGTACACTGAACAAACAGAAAGTGACTACTGAACACTGCCAAGACAAGGCAGGACAGTCCTTCGAGATCCCTGCTTCACAGAAGAGTCTGCCAGATGTTTTAGGCCTGTAAACCAAAGATGGGTGCCCCAAAGGGCATAGGAATTTTGTGTTACTGTCCAGGAGTCAGTCTTTGATTGAGTTAAAGACTAAATAGTAAGATTTAATTGTCCCTTAGTTATGATAGAAAAGCAAATTAGGGATAAAACTTTTGAATCACTAAGGTAAGATAGATAATATAGTATTTCTCTGAATTTGCTAATTACAAATGGACTGAATATTGTAAATGTGATTCTTACTTGATCACTGTGTTGTTGTGTATAGTTTTACTATGTTAAAGTTAAAAGTTTTCATTTTTGTTTAGATAAAAGAGGGAAGTGTTAGTTTCAGATGTGTTACATTCATTTATGCTGTGGAATATTTGTTTAATGATGCAAAGATGTGTTACATACTTTTAGGTTGCACTCGTTTAACTCTGTAAAACTGTGTTACTTTGCCTGTCTAAACACCTGATAGAGCTAATAAAGAACTGAATGGCCAACAGCTAGGCAGGAGAGGGATGGGGGGGCATGTGGGCAGAGAGAATGAATAGGAGAAATCCAAGCTGAGGAGGACAGAGGAAGGAGGAGGGAGAGCAGGAGAAGAGAATGCCAGGAACCAGTCTCCCAGCCACACAACCAGCATGGAGTAAGAAGACAGAAAAAAGCTCAGAGGAGAGGGTAGCAGTGTCAGACGATACAAATAAAATGTGACAGAAACAACCTGGCATGTTCCCATCATTCTTGTAAGCTATAATTTACTCAAAGCTGTAAAGTACTGGTTATTAAAGTGTGGAAAAGATACAGGACAAAGACACACAAAAAAAGGATGTGTCTAGCCACTGGGGTGCATTTGGAAGGAATGAGAAACTTGTAATGTTCAGTTGTACAGCAGTGAATTTATAGCTGGCTCGTTGATAATAGCTGTCAGAGAAACTCTAAATGAACTACAAACAAAGATTATCCAAGCTGACAGACTCACCAACTACCATCATCTGATCGTCACACATCTGTAAGAGTATCGCAAAGACACACTGTCCTACATAAATATACACAGGAGTGTGTCTCCTAAAATGTCTATCAGTTACTACCAACAGTTAGCCATATTCTCTTACTTATCAACCTGCAGACGAGAGTTGCTAGCAGACTTACAGAGGGCTAGACTCACCCACAAACACCAGGCTGCTGTAGGTCTCCAGCATCACATCCCTGTAGAGGGTCCTCTGAGCAGCATCCAGGTCCTGCCACTCCCGCCTCGTGAAGTCCACAGCTACGTCCTCAAATGACACCGATTCCTGTAATGACACATTTCTCTTTAACCCAGGCACCATTAAGCCTTGGGAACAGAAACTGACACCCCAGTCTTCACTGTGACGTACACTTAAACAGCATCTTACAGAAGGTGCAGCTCAATTAGCTTCTCTATTGCTGTAAGAAAACAAAACAACAACAACAAACTGGCTAAAAAAAAAAAAAAAAACAATCTGGGAAGGAAAGGAAAGAGTCTGTTTGGCTTACAAGTGACAGTTCACCATCAAGGGAAGCCAAGGCTGGGACACATGACAGGAACTGAAGCAGAGAGCTCTGGTTACTGGCCTCTATGACTTGCTCAGTTTGCTTTTTCTTATGCAGCCTGACCACCTGCCCAGCAGTGGCTCAACCCACAATGGACTGGACCTTCCTACACCAATTATCAGTCAAAAAAATGCACCACAGGCTTGCCTCCAGAACAACCTGATGGAGGCATTTTCCCAATCAAGGTTCCTTTCCCAGATGACTATCACATTGCCCATTTAAAAAAAAAAAAAAATAGAAAACACAGTCTATTTTGGGAGAAAGAAAAATCAATACAAATATCTTCTGTGTCAGTATGGTAATTCAAAAAAAATAGGATTGTAGACTTTCCATGCACTTAAAATGGAAATCCAAGTAATATATGTGTGTAATGATTGTTTTATAAAGAGCAAGAGCAAGAGATGTGTAACTCCAGCCCTATAAAAATAGTATCAAACTGTGAAAGCAAGAACCTCAATTAAAATACAAATTTTCAGGCTGATGACACAGCATTGTAATAAAATCTACACCCCCCCCAGTTGCATGGCTGTGGAATCTGTTCCTAGCATCTATTGCAGACTAGGTACTGCTGTTGAAGTGGGTCACTGGGGCTGAAGAGATGGCATGGAGGTTAAGGGCACTTCTTTTGCTTTCAGAGGACCCTGGTTTTGTTCCCAGCACTCATACAGTGGCCCACAACCACCTGTAGCATCTGGCCCAAGTGATCCAACACCCTATTCTGAACTCTTCAGTCACCAGGCATGAAAGTGGTGCATGTACACGTGTGTAGTCAAAGCACACAGAATAACGAAATCGTCTTTACATGTGAATTATGACTCCGTATAGGGTCACATAAGAATGTAGAGGCCAAGTACCGCCAAATAAAAAAGTTTGGCAATACTTAAACAGTTTCTGAAAACACAACCAAAAATTAGTTGAGCATCAAATATGCCATGACTCCAATGTGTTTGGGGCAGCGCTCCCCAATACTGCGTCAGGGGTAGTATACATGCAACACACGCCTTGATCTCTGAAGAAAAACACAGGGAAAAGGCATGTAATACACTTAATCCATCATTCCACATAAATGGACTCTGAGGAGTTGTATGAACTGCCATGTTTTATTGTACTGTTCACAAAAACAGAATGGCTCAATTATGGAAAGCAAACTTTAAATGTTTTCCTACTGCAGGTGGATCTTTGCGAGTTTAAGGCCAGCTTGTTCTACATACTGAGTTCCAGGACAGCCAGGACTACACAGAGAAACCTGTTTTCAAAAAACAAAAATGTTTTCCTACCATCATTTCAGTACTCAAGGATCAATTAGTATATATCTGAATTGTGTTGTGTTAGTAAACCATGCATATTCATCTCATTAGACTGTATCATTGCTTCAATCTTTAGTCAACTGGCCAAATGCAAAGAATAAGTAACCAGGGAGTACCCAGCCCCAACTGCTACATCTAAAATGCAACCCTATTCCTAATGTTCAGGATGTATCACAGAAAAGGGGAAGGAAAAACTTCAAGAGCCAGAGGACCAGGTTATTTGCTACTAGAGTGTTCTAGACATGATGGGGGAGCTATACCCATGAAACCTGTGCACTGTGATACCCTTGCATAATGACAGCATCAGTTGAAATGTCAATGTGGAGGGGAGAAATTTCACAAGGTCCCACTCCTAAAGAGCCACAGGCAATGAATGGCTGCTCATCAAGGGAGACTCAGTTTTCTCCAAGATGAGTCCCTCAGTAAGTTATCCAGTCCCAAGTGCTCAGCATTAAACACATGCACGCATGTGAGCACGCACACGCACACAAAGCGCGCGCACACACACACACACACACACACACACACACACACAAGCAATATAAGTTTATGAGAGATATATCATTAACAATTATAGAAGTAGTCATCAATTAGAGAGAGTGGAGGAGACATGGAAGTAGTCCAAGGGAGAGGAAGGAGAGGTAAAAAATGATGTAAATATGATATTCTCAGAGATAAAACAGCTAGTAGTGTTTTCAGCATTTTTTTTTTTTCTTTTTGTGTCAAGGTCTCTTCTTGTAGCCTTCGCTGGCCTAGAATTTGCTATGTAGACAAGTTTGGCCTTCAATTCAATTACTGATTTGCCTCTACCTCACAAATGCTGGGATTAAAGGCATGAGCTATCATTCCCAGGCTACACCACGCCTTCTGTAAAAACTAATTAGAACTTGAATTTGGATTGTGGAAAGTCTGGAATGGTGCAGTTTCATAGTCCAATTACAAATTACCTTGGGTATTCTTCACTCCTCTCCCTCCCCCGCAATATCCAGTCTCTGTGTCTTACCTGACAGCCTTGTAACTATCACATGATGCCTTGGTTAATTACGGGTTAATTAATGTATCAGATCACAAGCTTCTATCAACCACTGGCTAAGGATTGTATCAAAGATGTTGGAGACTCAAACTTGCAGACTCCCCACCCAGCTGTGAACTGACTACCCAATGTCTCCACCCAGGTGTTCCAACTGCTTTCATGCATTACTTTGATTTTTATTATAGAAGCTTCATGAAATTGTTAACCATATTGAAACATGGAATTTGAGGTAATGTAAATCAGCACTCCAAAATTATGATCACTCATATTTGGTTCCAAAATAAATTCTTGTCCCTGCTGAAGTAAGAAGTGTAATTTTTGTGTATGTTTTAAAGATTGATTTTATTTGTAATTATGCACATGTGTGTGTGCTCGTGTTTTTAAGTGCAGCGGCCCATCAATGCCAGAAGAGGTGTCAGAAGGTTTGAATCTCTTGGAGCTACAAGTTACAGGCAGCTGTGAGTCTCCAAGAGTAAGTGCTGGAAATGGAGCTCAAGTCCTCTGCAAGAACAGTACATGCTTGCTTTGCATGTTTGTTTGGTTAGTTGGTTGAGAAACCCTGGCTGTCCTGGAACTCATTCTGTAGACCAGGCTGGCCTGGAACTCACAGAGATGTACCTGTCTCTGCCTTCACTGTGCTGAGATTAAAGGCGTGCCCTGCCATCACAGGCTAGCAGTAAGTGCTTTTAAGCTCTGGAGTCATCTTCTGGCCTTGACAGCTGCATACAAATTAATTCCATTCTGTAGAAGAGCACAAAGTCCTGGTACTCACAGATATCACTAGAGAAACCAGGAATGTTATACATGCAGGCTTTTCTCTTCCACAAAAGGAATTTACATGTTTTCCACCCAGAAGTTTGGGAGTGGAATTTTGTTTATAGCCTGGTGATCTTTGCTATTCTTTAAGGCCAAGTGTCACCCAAACCCCACAGACTCCCGAACATCATTTCTCAGTCAATAAAACCCATTCTCATGAAAGAGGTCCTATGCACTTTGCAAAAAAGTTTTGATGTAGTCATGCCTTACGTGTGTGATAAATGTCATGAGGAAACTTTTTTTTTTCTTTCCAAAACTGTATTGTGTTTAAATATGTTTAAAAAAATAAACTGTTTGGGGTCTGAGTTTTAATCAGTCTGGCTACCTAAGCCATACTAAACCAGATTTTCCTCTTAGCTCTTGCATATAGTTCCTCTACTCGCTGGAGCTATAGCATTTGCAGGAACCCCCACAACTAGTGCCCAATATGAGGGGCTCAACCCTTGGAGAAGGCAAGTGTGGTGGTTTGAGTGAGAATGGTCCCCATAGTCCCATGGATTTGAATACTTGGTCACCAGGGACTACTTACTTGAAAGGATTAGGAGGTGTAGCCTTGTTGGAGGAAATGTGTCACTAGGGGTGGGCTCTGAGGTTTCAAAAACCCATTCCAAGCTCACAGTCTCTCTTCCTGCTGCCTGTAGATGCAGATGGAGAACTCTTAGCCAGTTCTCCAGCACCGTGTCTGCTTGTGTGCTGCCATGCTCTCTGCCATGACCATAATGTCCCAGACCTTGAACTGTAAGCCAGCCACCAATTAAATGCTTTCCTTTGTAAGTGTTGCCATGGTCATGGCATCTCTTCACAGCAATAGAACTCTGGCTAAGACAGTAAGAAATTTTTTTTCTTTAAATAGAAATTAAGGGCAGAAATCTGGGCCTCTTACTCAAAGGGTTCAGGACTGAAAGTGAGAGAATAGAATTAATATGGCGTCTTCCCAGTCCTCCTAGACAAAGCATATTATACAATTATTGAAATATTTGTTAAAATGTAATGGAACAAAACATTCAAAGCAAGAGCTCTATAATTTTGTACAAGTAACTGTAAGATTTAATCCTTGGTTCCCTAAACAAGGAACCATAGATATTGAAAACTGGAAATATATAGGAGTCAATGTAAAAAGCAGCACTTGAGAAAGAAATTAAAATCCCTGTCAATTACTTTGAAGTCTGGACTGCAGTAATGCAATGCTTGAATCCACCTGAGGACCATTTAAAAAAAAATCCTCTGGCTCCCCTGGACACTTCTCAGCAAGGGGCTACCACTCCATGGCTAAGGAGACTGACTGACTTGGATATGCTGCCTCCCCTTTCAAAAGCCCCAAATTTATATCCATGTACAACAAATATTCATTCTCATCAGTCCCATTCAGAAATTCAGTCTATGCTGCCTCACTTCCAGAGACTACTTATGGAAGATGAGGGAAACAATGAACAGGAAATGCTTGGACATTTCCACACTTGACGCTCTCCTGTCAGTCCTTATGATGCCTGTGATTTCAAACCATCAAGGCCCAGATGTGCATCAACATTGTCCATGTACTTTTCAGGTCCTGGATAATTTCAGAAAACTCATTGCTGCCAATGGCATTTACTGATATGATGTGGAAATTTTTAAGCAGGAATGTTGCTGTGGT